TTTTGACCGTTTCACTCCGTTCTTTCGCCATTTTCCCACTATACAGCGCCCTACTAGCATTTTAGGCTAAGTAGGAAACCATCGTGCCAACTGCTTTTAACGGAAATTGTGATGAAAAAGGATTAGTTGTCCCAAGGCTAGCCGGTAATTGCATTTCCAATGGAGCGCGGTTTTGGTTTAACGCCGACCTCTGAAATTCTCATGCGCTAGTTCTTCGCTATCATTCATTCCTTTTGAGAATCAGATTTCCCTCTGAGGTTCTCCCATGTTTTCCTGGCCACAGTCTCATTAGCGAAGAGCAGGAGAGAAACTAGGCTGCGTCCCTGTCGTTCTCTACTCGTCAATGTTTGTCACTTGCTTGATTTTTTTTGATCAACTTAGCGGTTTTCTTTGCTTTCTGAACTCTTTGTTTTCAGAGTTACTTCTGACTTGATGGATATTTTATGTTTTCTTGTTGTTTTTCGTGATGTTTCTTTGGACCTGTTTACGATTTCTTTCACGATTTTGTTCGTACTAACTTTTTGTGCTCTGGTTTCTATTCCATTCCCTACATCAACTATTATAAGCGTTTTATTCTCTCATATCTTGTTACTATTCAATAAATGGTGCTTAAAACCAGTACTTGTTCTCAGGGTGAGTGTAGTTTGAAGTCACAAACCTATCACTGCTTCACGTCGAGTTCTGCTGCCCCACATTTATATCCTCACTTCTTCAAGGGTTTTCACAGTGGCATGAAAGCACTTGCATAGCACACAATGGATGAAATGCTCGATCACGTAAGTGTCAAGATTTTTATAGTTTCTACTGTAGTTACTGGCACTATCTGATTGTTTTCAGTCTTCTAGTGCTCGATCGCTGGAGCCGATGGAAGCGCTACGTGAAGTAAAACAGGAGGTGAGTATGTTTTGAAGAGGGCGTTGATGTAGAACAGGTCCATGATGAAGTACGTTATCTTTTATGACGTACGCTTACCTTCGAGTATCCTAACCCTTGCCACGTGCGCGGTGAATGGGCCCAAGCTGTGCAATGTGCCACTTTTTGTCACTCGAAAAAGCATCAAAGTGAGGTTTGGGGTAGTGATAGCCAAATGCCGCTTTTGACACCTTCCACAAGCAACCACGCAGATGCAGCATGCGGCAGGACCAAGCAGGCGCGCAACTATAGCCAAACGCCCGTCTTGCCTGCGTCCCTCCACTTTTAGTTGTTCTCCACTTTTGGGCGCGATAAGTGACTAGCTCTTCACGTTGTTCGCTTCAAGATCTCGGTATCGTAATTGGGGAGAGGACACTCACTAGTGCTTCCGTATGCCTTTGCCTAATGCGGGACCATCTCTGCG